AAATATAATACTTATTTAAATGTAGATGTATCTAAAATTGTTTCAGGAAAATAACAATGTGATTAATTTAACATGCATGCAATATCACAAGAGAGCAGATTCTGTCATATTTCTGAAACACCTAAATCATTTGTAATTACAAATATAAATTGCATAATTAGCAAGTGCAATTACTGATCGTTTAGTAAAAATAATCTACATATTATTGGTTAAATTTTTTACAACAACACACGGTCCCGCATAGCCATTCTTAAGAGGAGCAACCTACAAACATAAAAATGTTTAAGTTTACAAAATACATTTACAATTATTTCTATTTACCATATTCAATTACAGGAATAGTTTATACACTCACAGGTTCCCATTCGTTGAGATGTGGATCATAGGCTTCCACTAGTGTGAGATATTGTTGGCCGTCGTATCCTCCCACGGCCATAAGTCGGTCACCTAATACGCACACACCAACTTCACTCCGGGGCACACTCATTGGCGCAACCATAGTCCACGTATCGGTTTTAGGATCATATCTATATTGTTACATCGCATTATATATAACTTGAAAGTTTTAACATATAACGTAAGAGCGGCTTTATACCTTTCTACACAGTCGAATATGCTAATCTCGGGATTGCCAAGTAAACCGTCGAAACCACCGAGTGCATAAAGACAACCATTCATTACTCCTACGCCTACGCAGCCTCGTCTCTTCGACATAGGTGCACACGGTGTCCATCTGTCAGTGTGCGGATCGTAACATTCTACTGTATTTTGGCAAAAACGTCTATCTCTTCCTCCTACGGCATACAATCTAAAACATCATAAAAAATTTAATATCAAATTTTATTATTTTAAAAAATTTAATATTTAATCAGATTTAAAGTTGATAAAATAATATTTATACGAAGACACGTACTAAAAAGAAAATTAAAATGATTGAAAACAGATATGACATAATAATTTATCTGTAAAGACTTACTTATCATTTAACACAGCTACACCGACTCCACATCTTTGTACGGACATAGGACATATTGAACTCCACTGACCTGTTCCCGGAACCCATCTCTCTACCGCATTAAGAAAACAACGACCGTCGTGACCACCAACAGCATATAAAAATCCACCTAAGACTGCCACTCCTGAGAAGGAATATTATAACGTATTTGCCAGGGTTTGATTATGAATAAATGAAATAAATTGCACATTAATTTTGCAAATTCTTATGCATTTGCACATACCTAATCCTTGTCGAGGAATATTCATAGGTGGTAGATTGTCCCATGAAGTGGAGAAATCGTAGCATTTTACTGTCTTCAATACTTTTGTATTGTGTACATTCTTTATTACTTCTCTACCGCCCGCGACAATCAATATTTTATTGCTTACCACTGCGCCAAATTGTTCTCTATTGTTCATGAATGCTAAAAATCTCCAGGCATTATCGCGTAATGAAAATGCATCTATAAATGGTGTAACTAGAAAGTACGTTGCAAATTATTTCGCTTGGAAAAAGTAAAATAGTGCGACAATATTGGCATAATATATTTTTTTTACATTAATCGTGATCGATTAATTATCAGTTATACAATTAATATTAAAAAATTCATTTTGGATATAATAAATTACCTTGATTGACGTCCGTCCTTCCGAGAGCTAACAACGTACCCACAGTGGCTTTTCTGGGTTTCGTTCTGCCTGTTTGAAGCAAATGTCTTTGCTCAGGCAGCAAATGATACTTCAATGCTTCCATTACTAATTCCTGCACCATTCTTTGGTCTTTAAACATTTCGTTACTCTCAATATTGTCAGCTATAAACTGTTTTGATTT